TTCTGTCACTGCACGGGCACCACAGGTTGGGGTGCAGGAGCCCCACAAAGAGCCCACTCAAGTAGCAGAGGCCAGGATGATGCCGTGGGGTGGCCTGGGGTGTGCAGCTCTGATACAGAGGCTCTAGACATTTCCTTGGGCCAAATGTGGTGTTCTGGAGTAGCTAGATCATTTAGTCAGAAATGTACATCGACTCTTTCATTCATTCTGCTGACAGATGCCTACTGGCACATGCTATGTGACAGGTTTTGTGAGGCCTGCAGCTGCCAGGCTGTCTACGTCCTCTCATAATGCCTCACTACCTTACACCCAGCTTCTTCCATTAGAAAATTCTCCTTCATGCACAGCAGTGGGAAAGGCATACACCCAACAGATTTATTTTGCTTACCACAATTTAACTGTGGGCAAGTCACTTTCCTGATCCTTGAAATGTAGATCGTAACACCAGCCACTGAGGGGAAGACTGAAGGAAATGGGCCAGGAACTGAGGGCTAGCGCAAGACTGGCCCCTAGTGGTCACCAGAGCGATGGTCCGCAATGGATGGCCTGGCTAGGCCAAGCCAGAGGCTATAGCCATGATCTCATTTGGGGCTTGCAGCCAGATACAGAAATGCCACGGAGAAATGCTATAGAGAAAACCCAGGTTCAGAAAGTGAACTCCAGAGTCACTTGGACAGTATGTAGCAAAGGCTAGACTTGACACAGTGCCATGTCCCTGAAACACAAATCTGCTCCTATGATTCTGCTAAATTCCTCCAGCATCACTGCAGCAGATGCCAGCCAGCCAGCCAAGGCCTGAGGCCTTCACAAGACATCCAAGGCCCTCCTTGACCTCTGCAGTCCAGCCACTGCCTTCTCCCACCTCCCGCCCCACACGCACCAGCTGACCACACCAGCCGGGCCCTAGGCACAAGCCCTCTCCCAGTTCATCGCCTTTGCACCTGCTGGCCTTTCTGCTCTGATGCCCTTCCTCGCGGCTCTACCCCCTCGCCCTTCACGCCCCACACCTCCTCCCTGAGAAGTGCTTTCCAGCCCCAGCAGACACTGCTGACCCTCCTTTGTGCCCCCACAGACAGTTTGCCCCCACTGTCTGCCCAGCACCTAGAGCAGCGCCTGGCACAAAGCATGACTAAGGAAGGAGGTGCCGAGTGAACAAATGGTCCCAAGACGCCGTCTTTCCAGCACCGACCACATGGAGCGCATCACCATTTAGATGTCTGCTGGCCTCCAGAGGCGGTGACTCCGTCCCGTGCGCCCTTGCTTCCTTTGAGCCTGGCACAGAGTAGGTGTTTCCTAAGCATCTGACAACAGAATGCACGAAAGGGTCAGTGTGCATTTCCCAATGGAACTATCCATCCTGGAGGGCAGGAACCACGTGCCATCCGTCTGCCTCCTTGCTTGCGCACGTTCAGAGACAGAGTTCGTTTCCCGGAAGAGTGTGTGCTCACTGGTGATCTGCAGTCACATCCTCTGGGGTATCAATACTGGACAAGGCAGCGGGGATTCTGGGGTGCACACACCAAACCCGAGGGTCCTCAGGCCCACCGCGCAGCGGAGTACTATTCCCCTAGACTGAGGTCTGGGAGGCTCCCCGCCAGTAGATGGCGCCAACAGCAAGGGCTCAGCTCTGTGGCCACCCAGACCCCATCCCTCCGTGGCCCCACGGGTCCCCTAAACGGCTTCTCTCATCCAAGAAGGTCTTGTCTGCAGCTTTCCTTAAGGATCTGCATGTCCTGGGGCTCCCGTGGGTACCTGGAAAGAAGGCTTCCTTTTGGGGAGCTTTAACTTGGCATGGAGAACCCAGGATAGTCAGTGACCATGCAGAAGGGGGGGTACCTGTCAGGTTACAGGCCATCCCAGCTCATTTCAAAGTGTCCAAACCCCCAAGCCCTGCTCTGGGCCGGATGGGGGTGGGGAGGACACACGGCATGGAAGCCCAAGGGGGATGTCATGCTCGTGTGTGTCTGCCATGCGCCAGGCCTGCACTAGTTCTTCTGCATACACAGTGCCCCTCACTCTCCCAATAGCTGTTGGACGGGGGCATTCTTGTGGCCATATCACAAATATGGATGTGGAAGCTCAGAAAGGTTAGGAAGCTTGCCCAGGGCCACACAGAGAGAACCCACTTCCAACCACTGAGGCCCCATGTTATTTTCTGGACACTCAAATTTAATCAGAGCTGAGGGGAGAGGTTTCACGACAGGAGGCCTGAATATCAAGTGACACCACAGACCCTTGTAGTCAACCATCCCCCATCCATCCACTCCACTAGGCAGCACTTGCGAAGCCCTGCTGTGTTCTGGGTGCCATGTGCCACGTTTCAGGTCCACAGAGAGAAGCAAGGCACAGCTCCTGACCTTTACAAGTTCATGCTCTAATCAGGGAGGCCGCACCTCCAACATGGCCTGGGAAAGGCATGGAAGGCTTCCTGGAGGAGAGGCCTTCTTTTTATTTCCTCTACCAAGAGTATGTCCTAAGGGCCAGAGGACTGGTCAGAGAGGATCCATGGGTGCTCGTGAAACTATGAGCCTTCTAGTGTCACAAACGGGAAAGTCTCCCTCCAGGGAGTCTGGAAGAGTGGTGTGTATATATTTCATTGATTTCAGGGTTTGGGAGTTTTTTGTGTCATGTTGTATTTTTGAGGAAAAACAGGCAAGGCTCAGCAAATTAGTGCCTTCCAGGTGAGTGTGGCCCCACACTGCCAACCTCCAGAGCTCTTTGCTCCTGCCGGCAGGGCCTTCCCAAGCCACGTCACCCACAGCAAAGGGAAGGGCTGCCGGCATGATTCCTTGGCCATCCCAGGTAGCTCTCTCCCCAGTGAGGAAAGAACGGGGCAGGATGGAGGGGAGAGATTCAATGGCACCTGGAGAAATAGTCCCCAGACAGCCCTCAGGCCTCCCTCTAGCAGCTGCCGTGGGCCAGATCCTGTGCGGAGGGCCCCCAACCTACCTCATCCCCATGGACATTACAGGCAGTCACCTCCCAAATGCCCAGGCAGCTGATTACTCAGTGTGCCAAGCACCTGCAGGAAATGCTGGGTGCTCCCAGGTCAGCAGGCCAGGAGCACCCCCTCCGAGGAAGAGCCCTTAACATGGGGCCTGAGCAGCGTAGTCCGGGGGAAGAGGTGGGAAGGACATGTCAGTCATAGCGAACTGCACAGGAGAGGCCTTGCGGTGGGCATGACAGCCCTGAAACCAAGCCCAGAAGTAAAAGCCTCAATTCAAAGTTGGTCTTTTTTATTTTCAAGGGCCCTTTATTTGTCAAATCAGTTTTTATTGTGCTTATGTGCCCAGCCCAGAACCAAGTATCCAACTAATCTGGCACCTCAGCCTGGACCATGTCCCCTGGCCACTGGTTCTCACAGCCAAGCATGCTGGCATGCACCTCACTGACCTTGGCAGAGAGATGCCTGCCTGGTATCCAGAGAGTTCCCAGGGCTCCCCCAGGGCCCAGTGCTCTGCATACAGCCTGGAGTTGCAATAAACCACCTCTAATGTCTGTCTCTCCCATAAGCTGTGGGTTCTCCAAGTACAGCTTTTAAATTCGTCTTCAAATGCCTAAAACTGAAGAGGGACCATGAACTAGCGAGACAGCCCCTTGTTGAGTGGCTGAAAGTGTCCAGAGGAGGTAAAACCACAGAGTACAGAAATGAGAGCTGGGAAAGATGTTTGTGTGACACAGAAAGGATTACCCGGGCGTGTCCCTCTGCCTCTCTGGCTCTCAGCTTTCAACTTGGGAAAACGGGGAAAGAACCTGTCTGAATGCCTCAGCATCTGTTACTCAAAGAATGCAAGCAGATCTATAAATTCCTAGAGTGGGCTCCTATGCTTCCAGATGGATCGGGTGGCCTGAGGCCCAACCAGCTCCGCCTTTGCCCCTCTACAGGCCTGGCCTCATCTCTGCTGACCTCAGAATTCCCGGATCGCAGTTAAGAAGCCCTGTATAGGATGCACCCTAGCCCGGCTGGTGGGAGAATGGGGGGAAGCTGGCTGCAGGCTGCATCTCTGTCCAGAGGCAATTTTCTTCCCTCATGGGCCTCTGTTTCCTCTGGGGTACGGGGGAGCCGAGAGGATGGTTCAGGGAGGCAGCCAGAGGGGGCAGAGGGTGACTGGATCCCAGAGACACAGGCAGCTAGAAGGCCCTACGCTTTCAGACACTGCAGAGCGGCCTCTCATTACACCTGCCCATTCCTCAGTACAGGGAAGGCTCTTAGAGGCACGATTCCCTTCTCAGCTGGCCTGTCATCTTGTCCATCACATCTGCCAGGATGAAGATGAAGCTTACTGGCTGAGGCTGGGGTGTGAGAGGAGTGCAAGTGGGGCAGTGGCACCGGGTCCATTGGCCCTGGTGCAAAATGAAGATCCCTCCCACGGGCCCCCACAGGCATGGGGGCGCACCTCCCTCCCCATAGGGACGGACAGCCAGCAGCACCGGGCTGTGAGATTCTATGCCTGCTGCCCAGCAGGGAAATAATAATAATAATAATAATAGTAATAATAATAGGTCAGCTGGCCAAACTGGATGTCAAATGACTCAGTTGGCTCTGTGAATGCCTCAGGACACAGCAGACAGCTTAGAACATAGAGAAGAGCCATGGAAACAGGTGGGGCCCCCCTGTGTGACCCATCAGATGAAGTGGGCCGCTCACAGGCCCGGCTCCCACATCTGTAGAATGAGGCGACTCAGAAGCTGCCCAGGCTGTGGGGTGACCCAGGAGGGAAGGAAACACGCACGAGGCTTCGCACCACCATGGTTCTGACGTAGAATGTGGGCCCCACCACCTGCCAGCAGGGCCACTCAGGCAACAGGCTTACTTCTCTGCCTGCCTGGCTTCTTGATCCTGATTCTTTTCTTGAGCAGAAAGGAGATGACAAAAGCATGGCTGACGACGAGTTTATGTAAACATTTTGAACGCTATGAAGATAGAGAGGTGGTTGCAACCCTTTGGACTTTGAAACCTCTGCCTGGCAGCCCCCTTTATCTGTGCTATTGCCCTGCAGGCCCTCTCTTCAGCCCCCACGACGATGGCCTTCACCCCAGAGCCGCTGGAGGACACGTCTTCACGCCCCCAATTCTGCAAGTGGCCATGTGAGTGCCCCCTGTCCCCACCCCGCTGCCCGCTGGGGGTCAGCCTCATCACAGACGGCTGTGAATGCTGTAAAATGTGTGCTCAGCAGCTTGGGGACAACTGCACAGAGGCCGCCATCTGTGATCCTCACCGGGGCCTCTACTGCGACTACAGTGGGGACCGCCCGAGGTACGCAATAGGAGTGTGTGCACGTAAGTGAGACCCTCCCTACATTCTGGCCAGTCCCAAGCACCCCGGCTCTGGCCCAGGGCCCCTCACTGGTAGCCCTTCCCCTGGCTAGGCTCCTGTTGTGTGGGAGGCATCCCCCCTCCAGTCCATGATTAGAGGCCAGGAGCTAGGACCTTCCTGAGGAAGAAAGGATGCCTGCATTTCTCTTGCCCCCAGAATCTGATTTCATGCTCTCTTCTCAGTCCTGGAAGCACATCCACAGCTGACTCCAGGGCAAAGGGACACCAGGAAAGACCTGAACCTGCTTTCATTCTCCTAGTGGTAGGACCCTTTGCTGGGTGCCCATGGTCTCCCAGGGACACCAGGACCCTGAAGAGCTCCAGATATCTCAGTAATATTGTAAATTGAAATAGTAAGATTTAAAACAATCCAGCAGCCTTGAAAGAATAAAATCCAGGCAGCCTGCAACCATCCTTTCCTGTCACCCATTCATGTTCTTTCAGTTGCTACAGTTACTTTAAAATTTTTAGCCCTGTTTTCTGGTAGTTACCACTGTATAGTATGTGTCTTCTGTTATATCTTGCTTGGCTTAACATATCAATTTTGGATAATGTATTAATGTTCCTACACAATAGATGATGACTTATCCCCTCAATATCACCTGATACTCCCCTGTCTTCCAGTATCATTGTCATAATTTTTGGTAATACACTATCAAGTATTTTCAATATTGTTTGCTATAGCATAGATAGCGTACTTATTTGGGTTTCCTTTCTTATAAAGGCTTTTGGTTTTCCTGGGGTTTCTAATTGCTTTTGCTTTTTCTTTACTCTTGGTTTTTACAACATCCCCATGTTGTGGGGAAAGCCATTCTTCAAGTACTCCGTCTTGTCCTTTCGGGTTCCCGAAGACCTCCTTTCTGGGACTTTCTGATCTCATGTTTCTATTTGGACTGGTATTCACTTAGCTTTAATCATCTAAGCATTTATCTAAGATATGTGCCCCAGCATGATGAACAGAGGTAACTAGGCATGATGACACAACAGCCTAACTTCAGAAAAGTTACACGAAGCCTTGTAAACCAAAGAACCCTTTCTTCCCTTAGTGCTGAATCAAGCTCTCCCCATAACCATGACTTAATATGCATGTTATTACATATTCACACACAGCGTAGTCTCTCATCCTCAGGTGGTGGTTGATGAGAGTTACGCTTCTAAGTCCATGTCAGACAATCCCGAACACCACGGTTCATTTACGAGCACCTTCTGCTCTTTTATCATTGATTCCTGCTTCAACTTTCATACCAAGTCATCTTTCTTTTAACCACCCTGGGGTCTCCCATCCTTTCATGTCTTTCCCCCTTTTATTTAGACTCATTATTAGTCTCATAAAACAGTGTGTTCAAGAAGAACTTGCGGCACCAAAGAATTATCTGACACGCTGGTTAAAAGTGCTATTTCTGAGCCCCACCCCAAGTTTACTGAGTCAGATTCTCTGGAAGTGGGGATGAGAATCTATACCTTTAACAAGCTTCCCAGGGGATTCTCATGTACACTTAAGCTTGAGACTGACTGCAAATATACACACTCAGTCATATACTCCCTCCCCGTACCCAGGTAAGGAAACCTGGCTGAGCCTTCCTGCGCTACAGTCCCCTGCAATTATATGAGACTGTCTCATTACTTCTTTCCCCTTTTATGGCTGTTCTTCAAGGTCATTAAGAAGGTAATTCAGTTCATTGGTATTATACTAATTCCTAAAGCTATACTGACATCTTACTATGGGCTGGGCATTATGCCTTTATAGACATCCTCTCATGGACTCAGAGATTCTGCAGGCCCCAGAACTGCTTCTCCTCCTGCCCTTCCCCACCAGGGTCCTAAAAAACCACTTTCTCAATCAAACCCTTGCCATCCCTTGTATCTCAGATCCTGCTCTTACTCACTGCAGCCTCTTAGCTCCCCCTCACCATGAGTCTCTGTATATTTCCTTTCCTTAGTTATATTTGCCAAGGGTTTTTTAGTCCTATAAGTTTGCAGACCTTGGAATGAATAAAGATAAACAAGTATTATAGAACTTCTCAGAAGTTTTAAATGTCCATGTCTACTGTCAAACTCCAAAAGGGGAGTGATCATAACAACCTTTCTTTTCAAACTTTTTGCACAGGGAACTCTTTTGTCCAGGAAGATTTTTACTCCCCAACCATACCACCCACACATGCTCACAGATGCTTTCAAATACAAATACACCTTGCTAGTATTCCACTGAACATCTTTCCACAAATGCTGCTGTAATGTCTGAGTCATTGAGACCCTACCTCAAGAAAGAAGATTGAGTCCAAGGTCCAAAAGCTGTAGAGAGGAAGGCACTTCAGGACCAGAAGGAAAGAGAAAGAAGAATTCCTCTAAATAGATAATCTTAGCAAATGGTCAACTTGATCAAGGGACAGTCACCAGGACAAGCTAAATCTGTCCTTGGAGATGTTCATGTAACTGGGACAGGACAAGGCAGGTAACAGAAATGAGCAATCACATGAGAATGGTGGGGAATAAGGCCAACTGGTGAATGTGAGCTATGATGATCAGACGTCGCCACTCCAGCCTCTGCGGCCAGGGCAGAAAAGTGAACTTGGTCTTGTCTATTCTGTTGGATCTCCAGAGAATCCCCAAATTCAGATTTGTGTATGGTTTTTAAATGCTGGCAACACATTCAAAAATTTTATAAAAAACACTCTGTGAGCCAAACTAAATGCTTCTGTGGGCAGAGAGTGACCTCTGAATTGTACTCTGACTATTTTGGTCGTACAAACATTTCTCTGAGTCAGGAGGCTTGAGAGCACTTAGGTCAGCTGGGAAGATCCTGAAACATACAGGCAGGCGGACCTGGGTTTTGAATCCTGCTCCGCAACTTGCTGGCTACGTGACCTCGGTCACATCACTTGAAGGACCTTGATCAAACCAACCTCAGGTGGTTTTCAAGAATAAACAAGGCCACACATGAAAGCCTCCAATGTGATTGGATGCTCTGTGGTCATTGTTTTACTGGCCTTGTTTTCGCTTTCCTCTGTAGACATCACCGCAGCCCTGTCCGGAGCTGTCCTCTGAGAAAGGGCAGGTCTAGTTCCAGGCTCAGACCCACCCCCAGCATGAAGGGTGAGGGTGCAGAAACTCACACATGGTCCTTAGAGCCGGGCAACCTGAGTTTGAATGCCAGTACCACAACTAATGAGTGTGGTGACTTCAGGCATGCTACTTAACCTTTGAAGGGTCAGTTTCCACATCAGGGAAAATGTGACAGATAATGCCTATCTCTTTGGGTGGTTGGAATCAGTACCTGATACATGGTAGGAGCCCAAGAAAGATGAGGTTTCATCCCACCTCCCATCCAGCCATCTATGGATTCATCCACACAGTGAACTTAGGTGAGTGATAACACAACAGGGTAATACAAGACACATGACCCACACTTCCTGCTCCCACGAAGCTGACAGTCCACTAGGGGTGTAGGTGAGGGGAGTGAAGGCCCGGGGGTGGCCTGAGTTCCTGAAAGTCCTTCGGATAGAGGAAAACTCACCAGGCCACGCCCGGACTTGCATGTCTGAGATTAAACAGGAGATGGTGAAAGATACTCAGTCATCTTCCCCAGGAGCTGGTCCTTCAGTCAGTTAGAAAGAACAGGAATGGGGAGAGGGCACCAGCACCGAGGCGCCCACCCACAGCCATCACACCCCTGCTCCCTCTCGAGCCTGTGACAGGCAGGCGGGGGAGCCACCAGCACCTGGATCCCCCACGCACATGCCTTCCCAGAGCCAGAGGGCGCGGTGGGGGGTGACTCAGAAGGCAAAGATGAGTGATTCCCCCAAGGCTTCCTCTGCTTTGTTTTGTTTTGTTTTGCTTTTCCTTTTTCCTATTTCCCTTGCTTTTCTGGTGTGGGGCGGGGCGGGGGCGGGGGGGGAGGAAATAGGCTGTGGAGTCAGAACCCCTGGGGTGGAGGTGGAGCTCCATCGTTGGGAAGCTGGGGGACCCTGAGCTAATGAATCACTCGCCCTCCCTGTCGCCTGATAAACTCTCCTGGTGAAGTCACTGGAGAGCTGAATGAGATAACGAATCAGATGGTGCCTGGCAGGAGATCAGATGGTCAGTGGGCGTTAGCGCATTTCCTCTCTGAACCTCCTCCCTATCCGATCACCTCCCAGGAAAAACAGCAGCCACATCAACGTCCCCACACGCTGAGTGAGACTCTGTGTCTAGCTGTGTCACCTTCAGATTGTGACTTACCCTTGTTGAGAGTGTTTGCCGTATATGAAAATGGAGGTGATAATGTGGTAGCATTTCCCTATGGGATGAAATAAAAAATGCAAGAAAGACTGGCACAGACTGGTGACCAAGAACAGAGACAGCGCTTAGGAAACCTTCAATCCTCTTAGGCAGTGGAATCATCACTATTAATAACCACCTTCAGACAAAGCCAGGAGATCGGCTACAATTATTGGCAGACTGCTTGCAGATTCTGAACTAGCCCTCCTAGGGTGGGCACCCTTGCTGCCTGGGGGCTCCCTGCCTGCACGTCCAGACACTGTCTTCAGGGCAGGACACAACCTCAGGGTGGGAGCCCTGCAGACCTAGGAGTCCCAGGCCTCTCATGGAACTCTGGGCTGTGTAACCAACCCCACGTGGCTGCTAGGATGTCAAACAGGCATTTCATATCTAAGAACTCTTGAGTCCCCTGACCCCAGTGCCAGCAACCCTGGGGACAGAGCATTTCTCTCCGCCCAGGGCTCATTCCCGACTCCCAGCCCCTCCTCCTCACATCCCATCAGCAGCAAGTCCTTCCACATGTACTCAGAGGCTGAGCCCTTCTCAGGGCACCAGGTGACCCCCACCCGTGTCTGGGTACACCCCCCCTCTTCTTAATGACAGGCAGTTGCCTGATGCTGCCCTGACCGCCTTCAGCTTAGTGTCCACTCAACACCACCAGTGCTCTTGAGGAGCAGAATCCATAGCGTTGCCTCACTGGTTACTTACTGGGCAGCTGCTGTGTGGCACAGGTCTAGGCTCTACTCACTTGGAGGCTTCCTCAGCCTGTAAGGAAGTGCTCTCTCAGCCCATCTCCTGCCACCTCCCATGTCCCAATCCAGCTCCCAGCCCAGGTCTTTACACCTACAGGCCACCCCTCCCCAGAAGGTGCCACCCCCGCCTCCTTCCTGTCTTTGCTAAAGAATCATCACCTCCATGAGGCCTTGTCTGCTCTCCTCCCTTAAATCTGCAGCTGCCCCTACTGTCAGCTGCCCCTCTTGTTTCCTTTGCTCCCTGGCTCCTGTGCCCATCCACCTCCCACCCATCCCTGCTACAGTGCGAGCTCTGTTTGTTCACTTCTGAATCTCTAGCACCTAGAACACTCCACAAACAGGTATTGAATGAATGGAATCTTTGCTCCAAAGTCTTCTGTTTGGCTTTACATGTCTGCCCCCTAAGAACCATTAACCTAGGTGCAGATGTTGTCAGTACCAGGCTTTGTGCCATGTGCTGGGAAAGGACAGGGAGCCAGCTGCCTGGGTCCCCACACCCACCATTCTCTGCTGCTCACCCAGTGACCAGCCCACCCAGACTGGCATTAGGTATTGCTCAGTGGGTGGTATCTGAAGCTATGAAGGACCCCGCATATTCCTCTCCTCCGGAGTCCCCCCAGGGTCCCCAGCAGCTGGCCGGGCCCAGCACCTTCACTCACCCAGTCGTGGTGCCCTGCCCATCTGCCATACTGGGACCGATTCCTGGGGTCTATGCTCCATCCAGTGGTGGGAGGCTACCCAGGTCAGGGCCACCCATACCCACCCACAGGGCCTGACCCAGGCTGTGTTTGCGTTCACAGAGGTGGTCGGCGTGGGCTGTGTCCTGGACGGGGTGCGCTACACTAACGGCCAGTCCTTCCAGCCCAACTGCAAATACAACTGCACGTGTGTGGACGGTGCAGTGGGCTGCACGCCGCTGTGCCTCCGTGTGCGCCCCCCACGCCTCTGGTGCAGCCACCCCCGGCAGGTGAGCCTGCCCGGCCGCTGCTGCCAGCAGTGGGTGTGTGACAACGATGCCAGGAGGACACGCAAGACAGCGCAGCGCCACACGGGAGCCTTCGGTGGGTGCAGGGTGCTGGAATGTGCAGGGAGGATTGGCCCCAGGGCGGGTTGCAGACCCCCGTGGAGCTGTTATATGGATGGATAGATGGATGGATGAGTGGACAGGTGGACAGGTGGATGAGCGAATGGATGGATGGGTAGATGGGCTAATGAGGATCTGGACTAGGGCAGTGGGAGAATAGGTGGCAAGCAAGGGGCAGATGCAAGAGTCACCAGCCAGTAAGACTGAAAGGAAGGGGTCAATCCAGAGCATGAGGTGAAGGAGAGAGGCGGGTGGGGTGACTCCTGGGGCTCGTCATTTCCTAGGCTGGGATACCAGAGCAGGGCGCTGTGCGTGAAAGAGACCTGTGCTGTTTGAGACCAGGTGCCCTGCCTGGGGGATCACCCAGAGAAGCATCCTGTGGGGCAGCATTGAAGAGGGGGACGGCAGAGAGGGCTCCGGAGGCCATCTGCCGGGAGCTGCTGCTGGAGGTGAGATGGCTTAGGGAGGATGGGTGGAGTGAGACGGTGGCCTGGAGCAGGGGGCTGGGAGGGCTGACATTTGAGGGGTGCACAGAAGCGTCTGATGACATGGAAGACAGTAGGTAAGAACATTTCTAGAAGGAGGGCGTCCACCAAGCAAGTGGACATGAAGGAGTGAAGAAATGGCAATAGATTCTGGGAGTTCTAAGGATACTGGTAATTGTTTTAAAATTCTAAGTGCCTGAGATTGCTCAACCTTGATGCTGACAGCATTTTGGACCAGAGAATTCTTTGCGGTGGGGGCTGCCCTGTGCATTGTGGGTGTTTAGCAGCATCTCTAGCCTGTACCTACTAGATGCCAATAGCACCTGCCCCCCAAGTAATAATAGCCAAAAATACCTCCGGATGTTGCTCATTGTGCCCTGGGGGAAAACATTGCGCCCGGTAAGAACCCTGGGGCCACCACCACTTAAGGTGAGGGAGAGAAAGACGAACCCAAGAGGCAGGACAGGAGCGGGAGGAAGAGGTTTCACAGAAGCCAAGGGAAGAACATGTTTCAGAGAAGACGAACTGAGGAGCAGGAAAGGAGAGGGGAGTGGTCCCGGGAGTGGTCCCCCACCCCGCCCCTGCCCTCATGGCTCAGGGAGGTGCAGCTTTCCTGGAAGGGGCTTGAGGGGCCCTGTGGGCGGAGCCAGCCACACAAAGCAGCCCCATGTTGATGGAGGGGGGGACAGGGAAGGCTCTGTCCCTAGCAGGCCCCAGGCGTCAGTCCTGCCACATCAGGCTCACAGAGGGGAGGGGCAGCGGCCATCTGCCCATTGTGTGTGGCCCAGTGACCCCTTTTGGACTGAGTATGAACCGAGTCCCTGCCTCCCCAATGGGCGACCCAGAAACCACAGCTGTTTTATCCTCCTAGGCAAATCCCTTCCCACCGCCTCCCCCCCTCCAGGCTCCAGCCCAGCTCAGCCCAGCCCAGCCTCTGTCCTCAGTGCCCCTCCTATTGCCGCTCTGTCTCTCAGACCCCCCCATTTCTCTCGTTCAGTCCTGTGTCCACTCATTTGCATTCTCTGCACACATTATTAACATTGGGCCTGGGTTGGGAGCCCCAACTCTCTCCTCTCTCTCCTTACGATCCTAGTAGACGGCTTGTCTTTCCTATCTCTCTTTGCCCCTCTCTCCCCTTCCCCCACTCTCTATCCCCTTCATCCCCCATCCCATCCTCTCACCCCCACTCCCTCTCTTCTTTGTCCTTCCGTCAGCCTCCCCCGAGCCCCTCTGCCTGAGCCTCTTGGTCCACCCAGGTGTGTGTGTGTCAGCGTGGGACTGCCCTCCTCTCCAGGTCTTTCTGGGGTATCTGTTCCATCTTTCCATGGGCTCTCTCCTTTGTCTTACTAGTTTTTCATGTGCCACCATCTCTAGCTCACCCCATTTTCCATTTCTCAGATATTTACTAAGCAACGGCATGCATCTTGTCCTAGACGCTTGTGGTACTTACGTCAACTGAGCCATCTGATCTTTATTTGGTTGACAGTTAAGCAACCACACAAGCTCGTATTTGCTGAGGGTTACTGAGGAGCAGGAACAGCTTGCTCACTTCTGTGAGTGTGAACCCACCTTCCCTGCCCACAGCCCTGGGAGGGAGCTGCTATCATCAACCCCGGTTGCAGGTGGGGAGCCCAAGGCACAGAGGTGGGAGCTAGCTTTTTGGAAGCTGCCCAGCTTCTAAGCGGCCATGCTCAGAGCTGAACCCAGGCAACTCGACTCTGAAGCCTGTGTCCCCTTAATCGTTATGCCCTCAGCATCACCTGGAACAAATACAGGTTCTAGGAAATAGGCCCTCCCTTTGATGCTCTCCAAATGAACTTGACCTCTGCAAGGGCAAAGGCAGTATTGTTGATCTTTTATTCCCAGTGCCTGATACATACTCAGTGAATGGGCCCTTATCGCCATACCAGCTCCACGCGGCAGATGGTATTGTCACGACAAGGAGACTGAGGCCCAGGGTGATGTCCAGACCATGTGTAGGTGGTCCAGACCATGTGAACTCAGGTCCACCTGTCTCTAGGGAGGGCTTTCCCCCCAGAGGAGTAGAAGGAGCTCAGAACAAGGCCTCTTCCCCTTGGGAACCCAGGCTGGTTAGAGGCCAGTTTGCCCTCCTGTGGCGAGAGACAGCCCACATTTCTCCTCTCTGAGTTTCAGGGATCCCCCAGCCCCCTACTGTGGCAATAGTGGGCATTAGGGGCAGACAGGGGCTGGAGACTCACAGGGCATCTGGTCTCTATCCACAGCGGCTGCCGGGGAGGTAGAGCCGTGGCAGAGGAACTGCATAGCCTACACGAGCCCATGGAGCCCCTGTTCCGCCACCTGCGGCTTGGGGGTCTCTACGCGGATCTCCAGTGCCAACGCAGGGTGCTGGCCTGAGCAAGAAAGCCGCCTCTGCAACCTGCGGCCGTGTGACCTGGACATCCGCCCACACATCAAGGTGGGTGCACCTCCAGGGTGGGCCGGTATCTGCACGTGACACGCGGACAAGCCCGGCTGTGAGCCTGGCTCCTGAACGTCCTCGTGTGGCCATTTGTAAAATGGGAATAATTAAGGCCACCTTGTAACAGTTATTTGGGATAATGTGTGTTGTGATTTCACTCAATATTAGTGATTGCGGTGAACATGCTATTAGAATCAAGGTCACTCTGGAGAAAACCCAGGGACCTCAGAAGGGCCCTCCTGCGATGATTGTGAGGGGCCCTCACTGACTGCCAATCCCCTCTGCTCCCTGCCAGCCTGCACCTACATGTGCCTGCAGGACAGCCACACCCGGTGATAGGGGAGCCCGAAACAGCTCAGGACAGCCAGCGTCCCAGGCCTGTCTGCAGCTGATGCACGCTGCTATGGCCTGTCTCCTTACATCTCTGAGCCCTAGACCCTCATCAGGAAAGTATTGGAATGCATTTCAGACATCCCTTCCAGCTTTGAGAGTCTAAGATAATTAAAATAAGGGATCAAGGAGATAGTGGGACACAGTAGACTGAGACCTAGTTCTGGGAGGTAGAAATGCATGTGATTTGCCTGAGTCAAGGCCTCCTCTCTTGTGCCTTAGACCCGTGACAGGCCCCAGTGTCACATAACAGACATCAGCGCTCGTTTTGGTTTTAGATGATGGTTTCTTGGGGATGCTGAGGAGAGGGTTACCCAGTCAGCAAGATGGCCCAGCTTCCCATGTTCCTCCTTAGACATCAGACATCGTTTCCTGTCCCCTGGTCCCTACTCCAATCATCTCTGCCAATCAACTGGATGCTTCCACCTCTGCCTTCTCCTTCCTCTCTGAGTATTTCCCCCTGCCATCCTAGCCTTTGTATTCTTGGTGCTTGGTGCACAGGAGGTACTCCGCAGACATCTTGTAACTGAAAGCATGAGTTAAAACGTCACAGGCCGCAGGAATAATAGGAACAAAGGCCCCAAGCTGGGCGCATTCGAGACAGCGGTAGGTCTGCCACAGAGCTGATTCAAGCCCCTTGCTTTTGGCTCATGATTTCCACCTGATTTTCTTTCCATAATGATGTGCCTAAGATGGTTCTTCAAATTATATAGGCCTCAGGCCCTACAGAGCCTGGGTCTGCTCTACCCCTGGTTCAGGCACGGTGCTGGCAGCCGGCAGACCCCAGGAACCACTGGTCTAATGAGTTCAAGTAAGAGCCTACTATGTACTAAGCATGGAGTTAGGCTGCAGGACACAGAAAGATCCCCAGTCCCGAGTGGCCCATAGCCCAGTGGAGGGAAAGAGCTACCTTTAAAGGATGCTGACCCAGCTGAATACATTGCATGACTCTGTGTGTGTGTGTGTGTGTGTGTGTGTGTGTGTGTGTGTGAGACAGGATATGGGAGGCAGAGGAGGAGGCTGGGGCAAAGCATACCCACCCCCCTATAATCCCACAGTGGCTCTGCCGCTAACCAGCTGGGGGCACTTTGACTGAAGGAGATACAAAGGCAGCCTGTACTGGTGACACTGTGACAAAGGACTGGACCTAGGGAAGCTGGAAGGCAGCACCCAGGCAAGGCAGTCCCCTCTTGTGATCCTCGGCTTACCCCTGCAAAATGTGGCTGGGTTTTGTTATATTTGGGGAGGCCCTTCCTACCTTGCAGATGCTGCAAATCTGAAGTGAGTTGGAGTGTTCCCCACACGATAAGTGACAGGGAAGAACTGGGACTTTGGAGGGAGGAAGGCAGTTGTTTATCCTCAGAGCTTCCCAACTGAAACCCCCTTTTCTGCAGGAGGGGAAGAAGTGTTTAGCTGTATACCAGCCAGAGGCACCCATGAACTTCACCCTTGCTGGCTGCGTCAGCATGCGCTCCTACCGGCCCAAGTACTGCGGGGTCTGCGTGGACAATAGATGCTGCATCCCCTACAAGTCCAAGACCATCAGTGTCTCTTTCCAGTGTCCCGATGGGCCGGGCTTCTCCCGCCAGGTGCTGTGGATCAACGCTTGCTTCTGCAACTTGAGCTGTAGGAATCCCAACGATATCTTTGCTGACTTGGAATCCTACCCTGACTTCTCAGAAATTGCCAATTAGGTGAGCACAAAACATGGGGCTCAGGTCCTGGCCCAATGCTTGCAAAGCAGCCAGCCCTCTGAGGCCCAGCTGAGCCTTGTTTTGTCCACTTCCCACCCCCTTTTAACCACCCTGATCCTGACCCTTGGCCACCTTTTCTTTTTCCGACTGTCCAAAGGACCCATTATGGTGCTGTTCAGGCTCAGACTATGAGTCCATTCCTTGGCAGCATTCTACATACACTTCAAAGAAAGTGTCTCTAGCTGTTCTGGACAATACGCCAGCTGACAAGCCTGTCCCGTTACTGGAGGTCCTGCTGGGTCTTGCCTGAGTCCAAAGGAACAGAATCAGCTAGGCATTCAATATCACTAATTCCCTCTGTAGATGCCAAACCACAGTATTCTGGGTCCGTGCGGAAGGACAGATGGATTTGGGACAATGGAATAGTCTATTATTTGGGCCCTGCCAAGTTGCCCTCTAATAGACAGTTCAAGCCACAGGACACCAAAGTATCTCTGATTCCAAAGATTTGTGCACCCAAGGTCACCAAATATTTGCCCAGTGAAGTGAGTGGTTGTTTGGTTTATGATTTTTAATGGTAAGTTGTATCCATAAATCCGGGCATTGTTGAGGTTAAGTTTCTCTACATCCCTGCACTGTGAAGGGCACAACTTGGGTTCATTCCAGAAAGAAATGCTACTTGATAAATTCCATTCTTGTTCATGGGAAAAGTCCCCAGTCAATGCTCCAAGGTCAGAGCAGGGTCAGCCAATTTTCAGAACAAGTGATGGACCCTAGCACCAAATCTACTGCTGACCAGCAGGGCCCTGGACAACTGGCCAGCCTCTTCCTCGCATCCAGAACCTCTCCCTCCTTAGGGGCTCATGGGAGCTAGTGGAGCCCCTGGGATGACCTCTCTGACCCCTCGAGTGGCATGCTGGAACATTCCTCTGCTCTTACAGAGCCTTGGGAGACCCAGCCAAAGGCCAGGCCAAACACACCCGAAATGACTACGACAGGTCCAGGCTTGGTGTGGGTCAAAACAGAAGTGAGTTCATTCTGCATCAGTCCAGGTGGCAAGAGTCACTGGGCCTAGGACATCTCTTTCCGCCACAGCGGTCCCTTTCACAGACTTTGGGTCTGCTGATCCAAACAACCCAGGTCTTGTGGGCCAACAGAGGTATACCAGTCGTTCAGAAGCAGAGCTGTATTTAACTGGGATTAGAGGCCACAAGGGGTTGGAGCTAAAAGGAAGAAGAGGTTGTTATGAATGGAAATGAAGCTGTTATTTATCTTATTAGTAAAAAGTAGATATTTACTGTTCTAATTCTTTTATTTAGTTCCTTCTGGGCGCCAGACATCATTCTCAGTACTTTACATATGCTAGGTCACGGTTACTTCACAAGCATATCGAAAAGTGACCATTATTGTTTCTGTTCTTACAAATGTGAAACGGAAGATCAGAAAGGGATGGCAGCCTGACCCAAGCCCCCAGCTGGGAAGTGAGGCAGGCGGGAGTCGGGCTGCAAATCCAAGCCAGGCTGACTCCGTCACTGCGCACACTTCCCAGCATGTCAGAGCAGGAGAGCCTCAGTATCATTGACATCCCGCTCTCGTGTTTTGCTCTTACCCTGTCTCTCTGCTCTTCTCCCAAGACAAGACTATTTGACTTTCAGATAATTTAGGCGTCTGGACATCCAAAGAAATATGGAACAGACAAAACCCCATGAAGCCCACACAGGTCACCCCCTCCTTCAGAACGAGCTCTCGGCATGTGTTTGAAAGATAGCTTTGCTTACCCAATGCTGCAGATGGAAAGACATGCAGTATTGGTGGGATAATTCTGTGTGGTGTGCAAAGGAAATCCTGAACAGGAAAATGGGACTGGGGATGCATCCTGCTTACTGTGACCACCCGGATGCCTAGCCCAGTGCAAGGCATGCAGTGGAGCTCAACGTGGGTTTGATGAGTAAAGGGACTGGTGTAGGTGCTATACTTTCAGGTAGAAGCTCTATGATTCCAAAGTTACATGACAATCTAATTTTTATCAACCAAATCTTATTTTAAGAGCCGTAGGAAAAGGTATTTTTTTTTAAATATCTAGGCAGTATTTTTCAAAAGAAAAAAAAGGCTTCCCAATTTTCCATGGTAACTATGTCATGAAACATTAGTTAAGAATACAACGTCTGGAATTACACTGTTTGGGATCAAAGTCCAACTCTGCCAATTACTTGACAGGTGAAAAGATATTTTTTTAAATGTACATTTCTATTACAAAAAAAAAAAGAAGAATTCTTGTGTGAAGACAATTTACCCCATGCATAATTTCTTCTATTAATCTGTGGGGATCGTATTAGATTATTTTAGAGTGAAATCATCTGCCATCTACAAACAACAAGGACTAGAAGACAGCTAACACTGCTATTTGCAGAAACTCAAGCGGTAGGTTCTTACTGAATTTGTATCCCAAACTGAGAAACTGAATATGACTTCTGAAATCAGAGGGAGCCTGGCTGGAGGATTTAGGGGATTGTCCTGGGAATGGATGGGAAGCGGTGGCCGGAATGCCCCAGTTAGTTTGTTTGGAGAAATGGACCTATTCTAGGCAGCCGCAGAGGGAAAGTCTCAGCTCTCTGTTTTGAAGTTCTGGGGAAGGAGATTTGGGCCCAATGTGAGGAAGTTCTTGGTAGCAGTCAGAACTACCCAGCAATGGTGTGACCTGCTTCAGCAAAAGTTAGTTATAATCATAACAGAAAAAAGTCCCTTTATTGAGTGCATATGTGGTGCCAAGAATGATGCTAAATTTTAATTCTCTTACTAATTATCACATCAATTGTAAGTGTCTCCTCCCCATTTTATAACTGGAAAGTCAGTTTTAAATCTGAGACTGATGGAGTAATAAGCCAAAAAAAGTTGGATCTCAAAGCCTTGCTCATACCATCTGGCTCTCTGGGAGGCCTCCGAGCCCAGCCTGAATGACCCCTGTTGGAGGGTCACCTGGGCAGGGAGGGGATCAAGGAGATCTGATTGATCATCTCTCCTGCCCTGGTAACTTCACATTCTGAGATGAGGGACAGGTACACCAAGAGCCCATTAAGCTTTGGTGAATAAATTCACATTAGCGCTCAGGGTACATTTCTCTGGGGCACCTAGGTGTATGTATGGAGGAAGGAGAGATGAATTCACCAAACCACTAATTCTTGCTACAGCTTAATTCATAAGCATTTGGTGAGTACTCAGCCCCTATGCTAGGCGCTCTACTGCCATACCTATTTAGTCATCATAGCAAACTTAGGAGATATGGCATTATTATCATTTCTTCATTTTAGCTGAGATAAGACAGCTGAGGCTTATAGAAGTCATTTTCTCAATGTCTTACCAGCCAGTGAACTGCACACCAGGATCTTAAGCTGAGGTGAGTCTGACCCCAGAGTGGTCTTTTTTGACACTAAGCCCAATTAGCCTGCCCCCAAGTCAAAAGGTACAGGGGCCACTTTACTGATAAATGCTGCAATTTTAATTTTGAAGGTGATTCAGAGAGTAATCATAGGAAGTAGACTCAAATGATCTGATTGTCTCTAGTCTCATTACCATTGTACTGTGTTTACACAGGCATTGTGGGGAAGTAATGTAGCCTGTGACTATCATGTTGCGTGATGTCACTGCTTTTTAAAGCTTTACTTTGATGCTTAGAGTAACTCCATGATGACCCTGCACATCTGGGAAGCATAGATGGTCAGAATGGGCAACTATCTCTGCAGGTAGATAGTTGTGTGTGTGTGTGTGTGTGCGTGTGTATAAATGTATGTACGTATCTTTTTTCAGACTGTGACTTAATATTTAAGAATTCCTACTGCCATTTTTGTAAGTGACTAAAAAATACATGCAAAGAATTGTCTTGGAATTTCCCAATAGAGGAAAAATAGCACTTGGGCAATCTGTCATGTTTTACGACATTCCTCATTTTTCTCATGATTTGTGCAGCGTGGCATGTGTTTGTTCAATGTGAAGGGTTTTCATTGCTCAGATTCCCTGTTTATAGCTATTCTCCTTAAAGCAATAAATCATCAGCAAAGTGACTTACTGGATTTGGTGGGTTTTCTTGTACATTCAGTTATTATGAGGCAATGAGGGAGCACCGAGCACATTCAATAAATGTGCAGATGGTGGAAATTAGTTCCCAGAGTTTTATATATGGTCATAAAAATAGCTAGAAGCTTGGAGATGGGCTTAGAATTATGAATTCTGGAATACGCAAAAGATCAGAGCTACAAAAGTATCCAGGAAAGACACCTCATGTAAATAGAAAATAGAAATTTTAACATTTACTCATTCACTCACCCACTCACTCATTTATTCAATGCCTTTCTATATCCCCAACTAGACTGGGTTCCTTGAGGCCAGGGGCCATGACTGCATCCTCTGAGCCTAGCCGAGTGCCCGGCACATGCCAGGGATGGAGTAAACAGGAGCTGGCTGGATGGAGAAAGTATCTATTGCCAGCTGCCTTAGGAACCAACGGGAGTAAAAAGAAGCATAAAGGACGTTGCATGATACAATGGAAACAGTTCTGACTTTGAGAATCAAGTGGGTCTTTATAGACTTTACTCCTTACTGGAATTCCTCACTTAACCCATCTGAGTCTGTTTCCTCAGGTATGAAATGCTGAAAATGATAGCACCTGCCGTGTGGTGATGAAATGCATACTGCTTGCAAAGTTTTAGAATAGAACTTGGTACATGATAAGCACTTAAGGGACACATCTATTATTAGCTGTGCCTCAGTTTCCTCATGAGCTGGGGATAATCAGCAAGGCTTTACAGTAAAATTTGGAGTCAATGTGTGTGTCTGTAAGGACTTATTTAGTCTACTTCAAAATAGACATATAAAGGAAAAGTGTCCCCAATATTCAGTTGAGTGCTTTTTTACTTTAATCATATGCTACTCGATCCCTTAACTTTTTAATTTCTCTGTTATCGTTATATGTTGTCATTTGATTAAACAGCCAGCGACTTTAAGGCAGGAAGGTGTTGTACTTTCCTGTGTCTCCCCAACCCAGCGCAGTGCACAGCACGTGCTCAACTAGATGGACAGATAGGCAGACAGCTGAGAAAATGAAGTGAATGATAAATTTGATGCCTTCTGGCCAAATCCCTTCATCCATTACCCCCAAAACACATTACTACCAGAAAGTCAAGGGGAGAATTGATTCGCAAAACAAACAAACAAGAAAACAATTGCCACACTTCTACCCTGAAGCATGCCTTTTTCAAAATTAGAAGTTAGGTCATGGAGTTCTATGGATGCCTCAGATTAAGATTATTACGTAGATTTTAGGAGAAATTCCTGATGATATCAGGTGGTTGAAGGTCTAGGAAAATGATATTTGGGGGAAAAGACCAGAGCATTTAATCATGAAGGTAAAAAAGCATATAGCAGAGACACCAGTGTCCTCCACTGTCCTCATAGATGAAATTAAAATGCAACAGCATCCTGTGTATTCAGAAGTCTAAGTTTCAGCTGAATTTGGGTTCTTGCCAAATATAGATCTGAGTAAAAACGACTTCTAAAGACATGAAGAAGCTGGTGCCAAGCTCATGTGCAGTTTCATATGTTATATTCTGCAGAGATTGTGTCCAGACTTCTACACTCAACCAGACTGTTCTTGTTTTTCACACGTTAACAAAATGGATTTCCTAGTCCCTCCCACAGAAAGGGAGGGGAAGCTGCTGAAGAAAGGCAAAGGAAGAGACAGCTAGAAGGTACGGTAAAAGCAGGTCACCGGAGCCTGGGTGGGGCTATTTGACGGAGGGACAGACATGCCCACAAGCAATAATAGCCTTCAGGGCATCCAGAGTGTTAGTCTCGGGAACTAACTGATGTTCTACGGTCCCAAGACGTCAGTAGGAGGTTGCATTAGTCATGTGCTCAGTGAGCTGTTTTAAAAGGCAGTGAGGGATATAATCTATTTTAGGAATGGCTGGGTAAGCCATTCAATCTCTCTGAGCCTTGGCTTTCTTATCTGTGAAGCAAGAGTACCTCATTCTCACAGATAAAGAATAAAAAGGGGAAAGAAACAATAATACACACTAAATATTACTATTATTAGAGGATGTGTTCATCTGTGTGTTTTTTTTAACAAAAATCTTGTGTTATAGGTTGGGCACTTGTGCTGGACCTAGAGATGCAAAAAAAAGTGCTAGCGTTGGCGAAAAGGCCACCTAAGGCGATGCACACTGCAAATTACTGCCGGTATGGTATGGCTGGGGCCGTCTCTGCAGGCAGCCCTTGGCACTTGGCAGGTGGTACCTGCGGTGGGCGGGGCATTCAGGAAACACTTCTCAGAGCAGGGATGAGGAAGGGTCTGTCCTGTGACAGTGGGTTTGGCTATCAATGGATTTCATTGTGCAGGAGACATGGCAATTCACCAGCTACAAGTTCATCAAGTACTTAGAACCCCTGCTGCTTGTCGGGGTGGCGGTGGAGGAAGTATAAGCCCTGTCATAGTTGACTGGACAGTGAGTGGACACCTAAGTGAAGCTGAGCCAACTGGTTTCTTTACCTTAAGAGACACAAAGACCTGATTGGTTGTAGGTCCAAGAACCAGCTGGTCATGTAGCCCATGGGTTAGGACCGCCATTGTATGCATCGGAGATGAGAGCTCTGATCTTAGAAAGGAGGCTCATCTGCTCACTAGTTCCCTCCCTAACCCCATGAGTCTCCGACCCCACAAGGCTTCACCTTCTGCCCTGTGTTCCATGTGGGATCACAGTTGAAGGGTTTCCATGCAGGCTGAGAAGCCCAGGACAAATATGTAACCAGATGGATTTAAGTTATATCTAGGGACTAATCCAGTAACTAATAGGTTGTGTTCGACAAGAGGGTGGTGGCAGATGGAGGCCTCAGGTGTCCCACAGGTCCTGCACATGGGTGATCTGCAGGCACACTAGGTCTTCCAGCTGCTGCTGAAGCTCAAGGGTCAGGGGATCGAAACCAAAACAAGCAGCTAGGAGAACAGAAATAGATCCCCAGCTGGCAAAACAGCGCCGGGGCGTACCATCTCTAAATAGCAGCCACTACATGCAAACACCTGTAACAGCTCATTCCCCCAGTGGAAGCCTGAGCTCCAGGGAGCTCACTGACAGGTCCAGCGGGCCTCTGCGTCAAACCCCCACTCTCCAAAGCTGAGGCATGTACGCACTGCTCTGGTGGTTACTTCCTTCGTCTGTCTCTCACAGAGGACCTGGCTGGTGCAGAAAAGGCACTCACTGTAAATGTGAGCCTACAAGCTCTTCCTGCATTTAAAGCAAGGCTTCCAAGCTTGGGGTCCTCAGACCAGGAATCCATGGATGGAATTCAGGGGCAATGTTCTTAGATGCGGGAAAAATGCATCTTTGTTTTTACTAACCTCTGGTTGCAATTTTAGTGTTTCCTTCCATTTAAATGGACGCAACAAAATCTAATATCACCAGTTGAAATCATACATTTTTCTCCTCACAATTGTGTCACTTATCTCAAGATATTATCATGCTCATCACTACCTTGAAATTAGGCTGAGACCTGCCTCAACATTACCATTTACCTTATTAATAAAGAAGCATAGGTTACTATGCCACACAATTGCAACTTTTGCATAATTATACTTGACTATGAGTGGCTTCTTTTGTAATCACACATATTTAAAACTCCTCCTGCCAAGTAAGAGTACACAGGGCACCTGCCAGGATCTGTGCTATAGGCTCCTTCCTCACAAAGATGCACACCGCCCATGCCCATGCTCTCTCTGTGCCGGTGTCCCCACTGGCCACTCTAGAACGTGTCCCACCCTTCTGTGCTGACTCAACTCCTCCTTGCTATTCCAAATCTATTTCCTAAACAGCAGGGCCCGTAAGCTACAACATTTCCACTCGCTGCAAGATGATGCAGACTTCAAAAGCATTTATAGATAATTACACACTCTAAGAAACTCTTCTACGTAAGTGAAGAAAAACCAATATAAATAACAGCATGATAGCTGTTTAAAAGGGGATAGGGGGCAGGCTTGAGTGTAGCCTGCATTTAGGTTCTTGCTTCCAGAGAACATGTTTGGAAAAGCAGAAAAACTGGACAGTAGAGGAAACTGGAAAACACTGCCCCAGCCAGGGTCCATCTCCTGAGTAATCAATCACGTTGGCCCATCAGGCAGATAGCACGGCACTTCACCTCTACGGCCTTCATTCCAAAGACTCCTAACCCCAATGAAACTGGAGAAAAGTACCATGGAAACCTCAACTGGGGGGCATTCTCTAAAATATCTGATGAGTGCTTCTCAAAATGGTCAAGGTCGTCAAAAAGCAGAAAAGGTTTGAGAAACAGTCACAGGTGCCTGGGAGCTAAGGGTCCATGACAACTCAATGTTAACATCCTAGATGGGATCCTGGGGACACACAAACAGGAAAAACTGGTGAAATTCCAATCAAGTGCGGAGCTTAGTTACTAGTAATGCACCAACGTTGGTATCTTAGTTATGACCAAAGTATCATTCAAGTAGGATGTTACCAGTAATTAGGGAAACTGGTTGTGGGGTGTATGGCACTCTTTACTATCTTTGTAACTGTTCCATAAATTTTTAGCTAATATTAAAAGTTTAAATAAAAATGGGAGATTATACTAAAACCTGTCGTTCATTTTTTTTTAAGTACTGTAGAAAAAAACATTATGGTGGCTGTCAGCAGGTCTCAGAAAAGGGGTGGTGTTTCCACAGGCTTTTCTGTAATAAAAATAAAATGTAAAAAAAAAGATGTTTCCTTCTAATTATAGGCTGAAAAGCTCTTTCCCTTGGTCACTGTGCTGTCCACACAGTTGAGCACCTGAAATGGGCCTGGCCTGAATGGAGATGTGTTGTGATATGAAATCCACCCTGGTTTCTAAGTATGAAGAAAAGAATGTGAAATGTCTTATAATTGTCATATCGATCCTACATTGAAATGGCAGTATTTTGGATACACTAGGTTAAATGACATGCATTATTAAATTAATTTCACCTGTTTCTACCTTTTTTAATGTGGCCACTAGGAAATTTAAAGTTGTATCTGTGGCTGGCATTTTTTTTGTATTGGATAGGGATGCTCCAAAGCCAAGAATTCCAAGGTGAGGGGCATGTGGCAGGAGGTCCCAGGTGGGGGAAGACCTGCCCCTGTATCTGGGTGCAGCATGCATGACCTCTCAGACAGAGCAAAAAGACACAAGCCACTGCAAAGTTACAAATTTATTGGTCTGGAAATAAATACAAATATCTCATTAAGAAACTCCTTTGGAAAGACTTGTACACAAGTTTCCTGTCTTGATTCAGCCACTCTTGCCCTGACACCTGACCTTTTTTTTTGCACAGGTCAGGGGAAGCCTCCCAGGTGGTAGGTGGCAGGTAAACCGAGTCAAGCTACCTACAAGGCTTGACTGCTTCCCTCTACCTACTCCAGGGTCCCAGAAACCACCTGCCCCCCGCGGCTGATTCACAATGTTCCATCCACTCTGATCAGACTTCCTGTAAGAAGATCCATGGTTAGCCAAAATGAAACTCAAAAGGCAGTAGTACAGGAACTTGACAGCTACGCTGGTGGTGCCCAGGGGTGCCACTCCATTCAGGAAAAGGAGGTTAGCGGGGCAGGGAGGAGGGGAAGGTGGGGGATGAAAGGAAACCCCACGGAATAGACATTCCAGAAAACTTCTGTCTTCTCAGCCACCACTCCCCAAATGAATCCCCACCCCCTACATGAGCAAACAGTTCCATCTGAAGGTCCACAAATGTTATCAGGTCAGAAACGTTCAGCTGTCAAGTTTAGACTCAATCCCAGTTACCAAAGATTGGAAGTTGAATTCAACTCAGTCACACAAGATTCCCGGGAACTGTGGTGGGATGGACTGAAATCACAACTGCACTGGATTTCCGTCACCACCACTGGCATCTCTCACATCTAGTGCCCCCAACACCATCCCCACCCCAACACCCCCACCCACCCACCTCCCCCGGCCATAGAGAAGACTCTCCCCCACCAGGTACAGCTGTTTGGAATATTTTCTTCCACTTCAAAGAAAACAACTACAGATGTAAATGATCTTCCCATGAACAAAATAATCATTTGTCTGGATTTGGGGTGGGAAGTGGGGGCTGTGGGGGTGAAGGCGAGGGCAGAGCCAAAGCCTTAAATCCATGATACCAAATGTTTGCCAAGACTGCTTCTTTGCAAAGCCAGAGATTTTGTTGCCTGCTTTCATTGTTCCTTGAGAGGATGCCAGAAAAACAGGTTTGCATGCTTCGGCATTAAAAGCGTATATATGCACAAACTTTAAACATCTCTTTCTTCAAGTGACTACATAGACTTGTTTTTCCAAATGCTTCAAGCCTCCACATAAATCCCACCTCTCCTGCTTCCTGTTTTGCCTAGTGAAACGAACTACCCACAATCAGTCACTGGCCCCCTCCCCAAATCAGAAAATGGTTTTGGTTCCAAAAACTGGGTCAGTTTTTTCTTTAGTTGGAGAGGAAACAGGAAGTAGATGGGCCGGGCGTCTGACAAAATGCTCTTTCGAACCAGGATGCTCAGGTCAGTCCAGGCTTGGATTTACGAAGTGTTTACGGCTGCGTTTCTTGTTTTTGGCAGTTTGGCGTCTCCAAGGGAGGGCAGAGTGGGTGGCCAGCAGGCCACCGTCAGTGAGAACAGGACGCGAGGTGCCTCTTTCCCTTTGGGTCCACCCACCCGCCCTCGTGGGAAATGGTGCCCTGGACAAACCCAACTTAACTTGTCCTCGCCAGAGCTCACTCTTACAAAACAAGCTTTGGGTTAATACCGAGTTACGTGTGGAGTGGCAGGCAGGAGTGGGGAGGGGCAGAGGAGGGGCAGCTGCAGCTGGCCCAGGGGTGGGCGGCCATCGCAGAGGCCACCTAGCAGGACACCTCCATGGACTGGGGCCCCGCGCTGTTCCCAGTGGCACCGGAGTTGGGCGTGATGTCTAGGCGGGTGCCCTCGCTGGTGTGGGAGCGGCTGCGGGTGCCCTCGCTGGTGTGGGAGCGGCTGCGGGCACCCTCCAGGGACGTGGCACTGGAGCCCGAGGCCGTCCGGGACCGCATCAGGCGGGTCATGCTGGCAGAGGGCACTGCAAGGGAAAGAGAGCCCTGTTAATGGTGGGAGAAGGCTAGCGGCACCTGCCCGCTGGAGATGGTGCCTCCCTCTGCCACCCAGGCCGAGAACCTCAGTCTCCTGCCCATCCTCACGGCAGTCCAGGGCTCCCTGCAGTCTATCTGCTCACAGAGGCCCAGAGAGAGAAAGGATGTGCTGCGATCACACAGTGACCTGAATCCAGAGCTGAGCCCGAATCCCAATCCTGCCACTTGCTTAATAGTTATGTCACTTTGGGTGCGTCCCTCTCTGAGCTCCCCATTCCCATCTGTAAAATGGGAACACTGATGCTGACCCCCTGGTATCAGTGCCTGCATGTGTCCACAGCCCCACACTGTCTACAGTCTCTGGAGTGGGGAGGATGATTGAGGTCAGTCAGGCTAATCCCTACACATCACACAGTGAGAACCGAGGCCACACAGTGTATTTGCAGCCAGGCTGGCAGCTATCAGCTCTTCCCCAAGAAACCTGTGAGCTCACAGGAATAATCAAGGGCCCTGTCTATTTCGTGGGACTTAAAATGCCCCTACATACAGCAGATGGCTGATAAAGAGGAATGAAGACAGAATAACCCTTAGTAGTACTGGGCTGACTAGCGTCTTTCCAAAGTTCAGGCCTGCCAGAACCCCAGAGTATAACGTATTTGGAAATAAGGTCTTTGCAGATCTATTTAGTTAAGATGAGGTCTTACTGGATTAGGGTGAGCTTTTAATGCAAAGGCTGGCATCCTCCTCAGAGAAGACACATACACACACACACACACACACACACACACACACACACACACA